GACTTCAGCAGAGTTTTGACTTTAGCAGGGTTGTACATGTATATCATTATTGTAAACATTACTGAAGGCAATGGATTCTTTGTTTGACTAAACAGTTGTTTTAAATCAGAGTTTGACCTATTGAGATTTTACTGTAACTTGTTTTGAAATGATACTAAGCCACTGATGGTGGTATGATGGTATTGTGCGTCGTTCTTTAAATCTCGGTGCCAAAATTGATTTTTTTTTTATCTTGAACACTTGTGACTAGAAAGTGCACTGTTTTTATAGACTACAAAAATCTACCGTAAAAGTTATCCTTGATTCCTTTTGCAAGTTCAGAGTCGGAGAGTCAAAATGGTCGATGCCAACCATCATGTTTGGAGTTCACAACTTAATACGTCCCCTGCAAACAAGGAGTCATGCTATCGCCGTACAAAAGTACTGGGGGACAATAAACAATAATAACAGGTGCGATAGATCAGACTCCAACCGTGAATATGTGCCTATTAATTAATTCGGTTTCCTTTGATATCAATTTCTTTTCTTTTTTTATAATTGTTTTATTTATTTTCTTTTTAATGGATGGTCTGTAACTTTTACATGGGATAATCGATATATTGAATATATTCGATTTTGGATTTTTAGCAATAGTGACCTTTGACCTGTCGGCCTCAAAGGCAATAGGCTTCTTAAGACTATCAAGAACAACCCACAAACCAAATTTGAAGTTCCTAAGTAAAGTATTTCTCAAGTTACCGCACAGACCACATTTCTATTGTTTTAGTAATAGTGACCTGTGACCTGTTGGCCTTAAAGCAATTAAATAAGCATACACCTTTTTTTTTCATTTTGTTGATGAGCCTTGGCAACCTCCAGAGGGTGCTGTCACCAATCAAACATCTCCGGAAATTACACGTGCGATGTCTTGACACGCGTCCAGTTCATGCTGATGCAAATTCTATGCACAAGCCTACATAAGTGAGCCCCATGTGACTGTGTTTCAGCCAACCAGGATAAGGAACCAGCAAGAGATGTATTTTAATTTGCTAAAGTGTCCAGTTCCCTCTAAATTTAAAAGCTTCCCATTAATCAGAGGGTGTTCAGTCCTCCCCGCCCCTTCCCAGAGCTCCCGACATTCACATTTCAGAAAGAGTACTTTTCATTGAGCCGGTATTTATTGTCCGGCGCGTCACCATTTAAACAAAAAGGTAGTCAATCTTGTTTTTGATCTTGTTTTTGTTTGTCCACACTGATACTGTTTGGCAATTTTGCTATCGGGAACCATCTTCCTGAATAATTGGCCAGCCAGGGTTTCACCTAGGATTTCCAAAACTGCCAGTCATACCGTGGTGCACTTTCAAAAGTACCTGTAGCCGTCGTCATGGCAAGCAGGACTGTCGGCGCTTCATTCTCGTGCAATCCGATGATGGATGTACGAACATGTCTTGGGCGCATTCTGTGTAATATTATTGCCCGATCGACTGATAGCTAGCTGCGCAAAAGAAAGATAGATTGCTCACCAACACATCCACTTTTTGTTGCGATTGATCGATCGCGCAACAAAAAAGACATATTTTGCTGCGCGATTGGGCTATCGCACAAGCAAATCGACAGAGGGCCCCCATTATACACTGGTGTCCGTGGTGCCGAGCACAAATAGGTAAAACGGTTATGTTTCAAAATCACAAACTGCCCGTTCAAAAGACGGGTGGACGGGTCGCAAGATGAGACACTGTGGCCAGCATGATCAGAAGCACCGATGGGTAGGTTGTGTTCAATAAGAAAATCAACAAATGTTACCTTGGCATTTATTACCGATGTGTCCAAGCTGAAGTTGCTAAAGCTGCTGACTTTTGGTGTGTTCTTAACATTTTCTGCTGCCCGAGCATCATCAGCATGTTTAACCGTTGCAATGTGCTTCTGGCAATCATTTCGACCGGCGTGTCTCACACAAAATTCCACGTTGCACAACGTACAAAAAGCGAAATAATCTGAACATTTCCTTAAAAAATCTCTGCCGTGGCTTCAGCTGTATTTTAGATTATTTGGTAGACATATTCCAACATTGTACACTACCACTGACTAACACAGGAAAATAATTCAATGAAACGATGCATTCCATAACGTTTAAACCAAGATGGCCGGCGAATACAACTCGACCACGGGACAACTCAACCACGAGACAACTTGACCAGTGGGACAACCTGCATGGCGCCCATCGTGCATGACGCGCCCTGCAAGTCAAGTTGTTTCATGAAAAGGTGGTCACTGCACACTAAGTTTCACAGACTGGCTACCAGTCCCTCGGACATTATAAGCGAACTCCTCACACGAATATAAGGCGGGAATGGCGTTTTTTTTAAATAAATAATTTTTTGAAAATGGCGTCATCAAAAATCGTAAATTTGAAGAATGAAATCGTAAAAGCGTAAAAAGTACGCCAAAATCATACATGTTGGGAGCTCTGCCTTCCCCTTGCCACCAACTTCAGATTTATGATTTGATATGCATGGAGATCAATTTGCAAGTGAACTTTTACTATTTACACCAACAGCCATCTCACAGCCTCCTCTGCTACACCCCTCCCTCTCCCTCAACTCTTACATGAGCTGGCCAAATAAAGTGCTTTGATCTTGGTTAAAAGTGAAATACATACGTTCATTATTATTATTATTTAGTGCTGAGGCCTTCACCCGCAGGGATTGAACATCATCGGACCAAACCAATGGGGGGAGGATAATTAGCACGACTCTCATGAAAATACTCATGAAATTAACAATGTTCCCAACTAAATATCATCTTTGTTGTTAACCTTTTTTAAGGCCAAAATGGGTCATTCTCTTGAAAGCAGCTCCTTCAAAACAGGCAAGATAAAAATTGAGAATAAAGTTAACTTGAACACAAGGATACATTTCAAGGATGAATTTCAAGGATTACATAAAAATCCTTATGGGAAGTAAATCATGCACATCACTGAACTATTGAGCATGTTTACCCAAACCACTGTTTCTTTAAATTTTTGTTGTTCCATAGGAGGGTTAAGAATATTATGGGCTTGGCATATACCTACATTGTCCGAAAAAGCTTCTGTCTACTTCATTAATGAAATGCGACGTCCTTTTCGGGCAAACTCATCGACAACTTTGTGGGGATGTTGGAGTAGTTCCTGTGTCATGTCGCATTCGATTGTGAGGCCACATAGATGTGTTAGTCGGCTGTTTGTCATGTTAGCGTGTTAATATGTCTTTATTCTTTTCATCTTTGAAAAACTTCTCTCTGTTGTTGCTGCAGATGTAGGTATGGTACAGACCAGTTGGAAGAAGCAGAGGAGATCAGGGAATGCTGTTTTCAATTTGTACAACCGTTCCATGGTTTCCTCCATCGAACCCAATGCATCTGTTGAAAACATTTGATGTGCCAAGGCTGCCGGTACCCAGGTTATTGGGGTCTATGTTGATGTTGGAAAACTTTGCAATCATAGGTGCCATGTCAGCAAGTCGGAGAAAGCGATCTGATTCTGGATAAGCTGGGTCGCATGCAATGCAGGTCTTGGTAACATCATTGTTCTGAACAAATATAGCATTTGTAGACGTTTTTATCGTGCATGGCATTTTGGGCACTAAAATCAATCCGACTGCCTTTATGATTGGCAGACTCTTATACCAGCACCAGCAGTTGTGCAAGGAACATTGACAACATCATTACGCCATCATGAGTCACGTGACGTCACATTAAAAGTGCATATATTTTGAAGGCCTACATGTATATCTCCTGAACTACAGGTCCGATTAGGTTGAAAGTTGGTATGTACATGTACCTAGTCTGGGATGTGTTATAGGTAAAAATTGAGGTGATGTTATGATGACGTCATCTGTGATTTTATATGAATGAGGTGGCTTCGTCGCCTCATCCACTTGGAAAAGTGTTTAAGACCAGCCAGCCAGGTCTTTATCATCCGTTTAAGACCAGCCACATGACAGGCTCTCGACCAATGGGAATGGTCAAACTGTCTTAGCTATTTGTGATTTTGAGTTGATGTATAACTTAGATGGTTACACCATTGTTTGTGGCAGGCCTTTGAAAATAAAAGGTAGTGTAAATCTGTCCTGTCTGTCACGACAGAATTAGTGACGTGCTTTTTCAAATGCCTAAATCAGAACTGAATGTCTAATGTGGTTGTAACTTGGTATGCATCTGGACCAGGATGTGTTAAATGGGAAAATTGAATTGACGTCATAACAATGTCATCACATGCCATGTGACGTCACATTAAAGGTCCATATTCATATCTACATAACTAAATGTAGGCCTCTGTGTGCTATTTGTTTCTAAAGGTTCAATTTTCAAAGTCCCGCTTATTTTAATGCCTTGTGTCACTTACGCAACATTGATGTTGCATTTTAACAGTGTGCTATCTTCAGAACTACACATCTGATTTCTCTACACCTTTCTACTGCACACGTATGTCCTATGTTGCATTTTAACACGTATGTTTTAACACATGCATTTTAACACGTATGTTGCATTTTAACAGTGTACTATCTTCAGAACTACACATCTGATCACTCTACACCTTTCTACTGCACACGTATGTCCAATCAGTCTATAACATGACATATATAATATGCAATAACAAAATGCTGAAACAGCCGTGTGTTAGTCCACAAACATAAATCTACAGTATTTTATTTTTAAGTACCGTAAGTAAACAAACATTGTACAGAAGCAAGTGGGCGTCCAATGGTCAGTTTCCTGGTGGCTTGCAGTTGTGTTGAGATTTCCCACTCCGTATGGAAGCAAAACAGGTGGTCACTAGTTGCATTAAGCAGTTGGCCGTTATATACAGCATTTAACTAACATGAGTTTTTTATTAGTGGGGATTTTTTTTAAAATTATCATTATGGACAGGTGGTCATTGTATACAGGGGATTGCTAAAGCAGGTTTGATTGCACAACAATCAGAGTATTCACATGTATTTGATCTGACTAGTAATGTACACAAAATCAAAGTAACCAACCTTCAAGGAGTTCAACTTGCTGATGAACCAACAATTGATCAATCTGTGTAAGGTATTCTAATCCTGGAGGACAGTCTGAAGGGACTTGAGCAGCTTGAACTTGGAGCCCTGCCTCCAAGCTACCTGGGGCAGGTGGAGGAGCCGTAGCTGGCCAGTTACCAGGTGGTGCTGCCATGCCACCAGCAGTTTGTTGTTGAGGATCCATCACTATATCTGCAAAATTAACAAATAGAATAAGACCATGTATTCCAGGCAACTTATAAAACAAGACAAGGCAAGCCTAGTAAAGCTGGACCCAGAGTGTACAAAATTGACTGGTTAACCCTCATTTCATGCATACATGTCCACGAAAGTATCATATAAAAAACTTTAACGTCATTGGCCCACCCAACCTGGGGCGTGTTTCGCGACCAAAAACATGTTTGTGATGTCAACACAATTTATAACCAGGAACATTGTAGGTGCGGGAAAAAACGAAGAACTTGGAACTGTCACGTGATCCAACAGATTGTTAACAAGCTCTTGTGCACTCTTGGAAGCAAACTCTTGTGCAAGAGTTTAGGGTGCATGATGATGTTGGAGAAGATAAGGATAGGTTCAAAAGAAAACTAGAACGGCGAAGCCGCCATGGCTCGCTGTCCTAGGCAGGAAGGGAGGCTGAAGGTAGGGTTGGGGATGGGCATGATGGAAGGGGATCAGGATTCTTGTTGATGTGCCTAGGTGTAGGGGTCACTTTTTAAATGTCAACATAAAAAGTCAACAGATTACCTAATAAATACATGTGTTTATAGGTTAGCCGTCACTGTATTATGGGGGAGTTTTCCATTGTTAGGGTAATTAGGACCCAGTTGTGGATTTTTGCAGCCCCAACAGTGTCTTCTGCTCCCCATACTTGTATTACCATGGGAAAACTCTTGTGTAGTCGCCACAAATGCAGAACAAGAATGGGTATACATGTACATGTAGACACAGCACCATCACCACCTCCCCCAAACCTTACCCCATCCCAAAACCTTACCCCATCCCCAACCCTCCCCCTCCCCCACCCAACCCCCTACCCACACCCATTCCATCCTCCCCTAACCATCCCCAACCTATCACCTACACAGCCCAACCCCACCCAAACTCCAATCCCTATCTCCTTCCCCCTCCCCTGACCCGTACCCTCCCCTACCCCAACCCCCTACACCCACCTACCCTAGCTTCCCTTATCTGTCCTTACCCACCAGGTACACATCCCCATCCTAACCCTTATTCGAATTCCAATACCCCGCTCACCCCATTCCCCCACCCATACATCCCCACCCGACCCCATGTAACCCGTACTCTGATCCCTATATACTGCCCCTCCCCTTATCCAACCCCTACAACAACCCATCCCTACACATCCCCAACCCAACCCCTACTCCGATCCTACCGGTATATCCTGCCCCCTGCCCAACCCCCTCCTAACCCAACCCATACATCCATGCCCATCCTCTCCCTACCTGTCTCCCCCTACCTGTCTCTCCCTACCTGTTCCCACCCCACCCCTACAAATCCCCACCCCACCCAAACGCAGTATTCCAACCCCTCTCCCCACCCCAACCCACCCCACCCATCCTAGCTCCCCTACTCATCCTACTCACACAAACCCCAACTCCAACCCTATCCCCCAACCCACCCCACCCCACCCTCCCCTACCCCATCCCTACTCCAACCCCATCAACTAAAAGATCAAACCAGAAGCTCATGCACATCCCCAAAATGCATAGTGTACATGTTATACCGGTATACACACATGTACATGTTATACCAGTATACATGTACATGTAACAATTAAAAACTTTAACATTTCCTTGAATTAAAGTTCCTCAATCAAATCATAAAATTTACTGCAATGATATGAACCTAACTGAAGTTATAAAGATGATACATGACAACTGCATTTAATTTTTTTCCCCAAGTTAACTAGAACCAAAAACTTCAACATTTTTATCTGAACGTGGACGGACGGCCGGCCGGACGGACGGACGTCCGTCCGTCCGGACGGACGGACAGACGGACGGAAATTGGTATTACATAGGCTCGCATCTGCTTCGCAGCTCGCCAAAAATGTCGGCTACATGTAGATGAATTCAAGGGTTTACACAGAAGTTGCTTTATTAACTTTGACATGGTTGCTCTCTTCAAGGTAAAAAGGACAAAGACTGGTAAGCTGACAACAGCAGTACAGTGTATTGACTGCCTGAGAAGTACACTGGCATTAAAACACAGGCTACCAAGAAGAAGTTGTGCCAAGGTACAGCCTGGAAGTTTTCAGCACACTTTGGTTTAAAAGACAAACCTTATCCCCCTTGATGCAGGATCTTATCCAAAGTGGCATGTCTGTCGAAGATTACAGACATGACAGAAGGGGTACAGAAGGGTCACCCTGGGGATAAAATGGCACTGGTAAGCCTACGGTACAATACCTTGCAAAGCAGGAGTCAATTTGAGGAATTGCTGACAGCTAGGGCCTATCGATAATTACACATGTAGCTGTTCTCAATTTCAATTGGGAACAGCTATTGTTTTCATTTTTTGGGGCTTTTCCGCAAAGTTGCGGAAAAGCCTTTTTTGTTTGTTCTCATTTTTGGCTTTTCCGCATAGTAGCGGAAAAGCCTTTCTTTTTGTTAAGCTTTTTGGCTTTTCCGCAAAATGCGGAAAAACCTTTCTTTTTGTTCTCATTTTTTTTTTTTTTGGCTTCTTCTTTTTGTCGCCTAAACCCCATATACTTTGTGCACGTTTTTTCTCAACGCCACTTTTGGCATTAATCTTTGTCATACATCATTCAAAGTTAGCATAAGCATAGTCCCTATAGCAAAGATGTGTCCCAAAGATTGATGTCATGGTGACGTCATCGACTAATTTATTATAGATTTTTGAATATTTAATTTTTCCCATAGACTTTGTACACAGAAATTTTAAAAAAATTGTCGATTTGCAAAGGGCATTTTTGACTCTTTGCCAGTAATTCATTTACACCAATCTTTGTCCAAGCAAAGACCCTAATTTAAACAACATTGTGTAATGATGACGTCATGATGACGTCATCAGGTGTGTATTTATAGGCAATTAAATTGTGACACTTTTAATATTCAAAAATGCATACGAAATCAACCGTACGCGTCCACAGCATTTTGTTGCCGGCAAGTGGTAGAATAGGTTGAGGTCTTTATTTCATTCAGTGTGCGTGAAATCACGTGACCCTTGCTTCCGGTCGAAAAAGGCCAAAACCGGAAGTGGCTTATCATTTGAAAGTGGTAATAGATATAAACTTGCTTTTAACGGTGTTAGTCTCTTGGCCAATAGTATTCTTCAAATCATCTACCGATGACGTCATGCAATCTTCGAGCGCCCTCTAGCGACAGGTTGAAAATTAGCAAAAATGTATTTTGAATAGATGTCTGTGGCGAAGTTTGTCGGAATCGTTGGCATAAGCATAGTCCCTATAGCGAAGATGTGTCCCGAAGAGTGACGTCATGGTGACGTCATCAAGTGATTTATTATGGATTTATGAATAATTAATTTTTCTCATAGACTTTGTACACAGCTTTCTCCACAAGTCTTTCCCTATACAACACTGATATATCTTACTGAGTAGTTGTGAACTTCGGCTGAGAATTACTATGAGAAGGAAAAAGAAATCGTATTTTTTACGCCTTTCATTTGATTGAAAATATTCCCAAGAGTTAGAATAGCAAGTAATATTTTATAAAAATGTTTCAGTTTAAAGGAAAATCACGCATTTAAAGGTGCAGTTTTTCTGCTGTGGGATTTTTAACCTTTTGACTTTGTACACGTTTTCAAGCCACCATTTTCATATTTTGGCGATCTGGAATCGTTACAGCCAAGAAAGACCCTCATACAAAAATTATGCCAAGACTATGACATCATGATGACGTCATCATCAAGTGATTTATTATGGATTCATGAATAATTAATTTTTCTCATAGACTTTATACACAGCTTTCTCCACAAGTCTTTTCCTATACAACACTGATATATGTTACTGAGTAGTTCTGAACTTCGGCCGAGAATTACTATGAGAAGGAAAAAGAAATCGTATTTTTTTAAGTTTGCCATTTGATTGAAAATCAGAGTCAGAATATCAAGTAATATTTTATAAAAATGTTTCAGTTTAAAGGCAAATCACGTATTTAAAGGTGCAGTTTCTCTGCTGTTGGATTTTTAACCCATTGACTTTGTACACGTTTTCAAGCCACCATTTTTATAACTTGGCGATCTGGAATCGTCATCAAAGTTACAGCCAAGGAAGACCCTCATACAAAAATTATGCCAAGACTATGACGTCACGATGACGTCATCACCTAATTCTTTATTGATTTTTGAAAATTTACCTACATATTGTGAAGTCTTATATCTACAGAAATGTAAGTCCGATTGGGTTGAAACTTGGTATGTGGCTATACCAGGATGTGTTATAGATTAAAAATGAGGTGACGTCATGATGACGTCATCCTGAGATTTTATATGAATATTTATTTGTTTGGACCTTTTAGCCATATCTCCCGAACGCAACATGCAAAATTCTTTTTTGCATTTGGTCTGTTATGTAATAGCTATTCGCACAAAACTTGAAAAATGTGTGACGTCATCATGACGTCATCAAAATGCGATTTTGCAAAACTCATATAAGGAAAGGTCCAATTGTCATGAAACTTGGTGGGTAGGTAGTTAATCATACTAGTATGCAAAGTTCGAAGTGACGTCACGATGACATCATCAAAAAATTTAAAAATATTTGTCGATTTTCAAAGTGCGTTTTCGACTCTTTGCCAGTGATTTATTTAGACCACTCTTTGCACACGCACATACATCGTATTGCCGAGGTCAAATCCTGTCCACAATGACCGTTTTAGCCGATTTTCGGCTAACTTTAACAGATTTTATGTTCATGCATATTCAGGGCATATTATTGATTAAAAAAAATCATAATGCGGAAAAGCCCTATGTTCTGTTGCAAACAGACATAGACCTCTAGTTCTTTCTTCTTCCTCTTCTTCTTCTTTTTGTCACCTAAACCCAATAGACTTTGTACACGTTTTTTTCTCAACGCCACTTTTGGCATTAATCTTTGTTGTACATCATTCAAAGTCGGCATAGGCATAGTCCTTATAGCATAGTTGTGTCACGAAGAGTGGCGTCATCATGACGTCACCATGGGTCAC